TGACAAACAGTTTGCAGAAGCATACCGGATGTATACCGAATTTCAAAACACGTATTTGGGTAAAACCAATAGTGAACCATTGCTGGACCTTCCCAATTTTGCCAACAGGGCATTATTTGTTATAGACTGCTCAAAACAGAACGAATCCCTCAAAAGCAACACGACTGATGTCAAATTAGAGTTCCAAAGCTCAGAGAATTTTTCGGAAGATACACGAGCCTGTTGTATTATCGTACATGATCGAGTTTTTGAATACTTACCTTTATCCGGTAATGTTCGAACATTGATCTAAGCAGACACTATGAAACATTCGACACTATGAAACATTCAACAGAAAAGTAGAACGTTTGCGGTTTTGGATGCTCAAGGTTCTGTTTACGTTAAAGGACATATTTAAAAGATTTTATTATTAGATTGTATACTAAACTAAACCTAATTTATCTAACTAGAGCGAATTTAGAATTTTTTGGACAGTGTAGGATCCAGGCTGGATAATAGCTTGTTAATATCATAAAATTATTTTAAGTCAATGTAGTATTAAGAATTTATTGTATAATTATATTGTGTAAGTACCTAATAAACTTTTTTAAATAATTAAGTTCTTTTCTATAAATACAGACCTCTTAGTCGAATAAGTTTAGTCTTTCTCTAGGGTATGAGCTGCAAACTAACCGAAAGAATTCAACATTCAACACCATTCACCTTCAATGAATTTGAGGAATTTTTACAGTTTCTCGATAATGTAAATGATGGTTGGTATGATGTAAATTTCTACATTGGAGAATTCATTTATGTTAGCTATTGGAATGAGGAAGAAAGTAAAGGTCTGACTATGGTGGATATGCGAACAATGGGAAAAATTTATTGGAATGAAAATCATCTTGATTTAATTCTAGAACATAAATATAACCTGTATGATATTTTTCTTAAATAAAAAATTGAAATAAAAAAATTATTCTGGCCTATTTCTTTTTCTCCTATACCAAAACCACAATAAATATCCCATAAATAAAACAACTACCTATGTAGAAATATAAAGTGTTTTTTATTATCAATATTTCTACAACAAAAAAAATAATAAATTCCTCCTGAATCATTATGTCTTGATCTTGTTGATGCGTTTTGACGTTTTCTCGATGCCGTTAACTCTAAAAATTGAAAATGTTTTTAGTATTAATTTAATAATTTATATGGTATACTTACAATTCAACAACTTTGAAAATTGGTGTTGGATTCAGGCCTTTAATATCTCGCATGCCTTTAAATTTCAATCCAAATTTCCCAGCCTCGAAGTGCTGAATGTTTTGTTTAATTGAATCGGTTGCACGTTGAGGAAGAAAGGTAATGTTTTTATCCATTTCTACTCGGGCTACTTCTCCAAATTTTGAATTCACTATAGTCATACCCCGAATTGGATAGGGATGCTCTGGAGTCAAATCTTGTAGCTTTAAGTAGGACTTTTCCTCAAGACAGGCTGCTTGGTTAATTTGGGGTAAATCCATGATTCTATTATTAAACTAAAAATAGAACAACGTATTATTATCAGGGTCTTTAAGAATAATGAAAAAAATTACTTACATAGTTTTTAGCACTTAATACACACACACCATCAATTATAACTGAGGTAACGCCCAATTTTGAATTAAGTTTTCGTTGAAAAATTCGATCTGGATGAGGAGCACTGAAGAAAAACTTTGTGTCACCTAGGGACGTTAAAATCTAACTAAAATTTGAAAATGAATAACAACTAGCAGGCCAGCCAGCTGCGTTTCGTTATCGTCGCAGGAAATGCGGCTTCCGTGTGATAAGCAAGTTCGCACACAACTTGCTGTTCTTGTTGTTGTTTATGAGAACGGTAGAAATTATAATTATTTTAAAAATAATATTTGGGGCCCCCCAATTAAATCGTTACAAGTCCGTGAAAAATGGGACCCAAATTGGAGCACTATTTTTTCAATGATGATGATGATGATGATGATGTTGTCTTTTATGTGACCATATTTTTAGTTTAGAAAAATGGGGCCGACGACGACGAAAAAAGGGGGCCAAGTACGGCGTATCTTGGTACGAGGTACCAGGTACGAGGTAGCAGGTACGAGGTACCAGGTACGAGATACGCGGTATCAAATTTCAGGTTATGAATTCTAGGTACGTTGTACAAATTTCAAATTACCAGCACGAGATATGGGACATCAAATTTCAGGTTATGAGTTCTAGGCTACGTGCACCTCAAAATTTGGGGGCCTGTATTGGTTCCATATACGATAATGGATAATGGGGCCGCGGGTCTAGCTGCGGAGACAAGTGGCCCCTTTCCGATTTTTCCCTAGATTTAGGGAAATTTTATTGGCAACGTCGCACATTATTAGTTTCGACAACGTCGCACGTACCTGTCATCTCGTATGGGGTATCTCATTTCAGGTTATGAGTTCATGTAAATGGGGCCCCCGAAAAAAAAAAAATGGGGCCACGGGTCTAGCAGCGGGGACAAGCACGTATGGCCCCTTTGATGACGTCACTTATTGGGTTAGGTCTATTCAAATTGGGGGCTTGCTACTTAGGTTAGGCCTCTTTAAATTGGGGCTTGCTAAAAAATGGGGCCCACTTAAAAATGGGGCCACGGGTCTAGCAACGGGGACAAGCATGTGGCCCCTTTGATGACGTCACTTGGGTTAGGCCCCTCCACTTGACGAAAAATGGGGCCCACCGAAAAAATGGGGCCCTGGAATGGGGCACAGGCCCACCTGGTGGAGGCCCCTTCAATTTGGGACTTCTCTGATGACGGGCGCGGGCCCCACGACGAATGACAGGTCACTTCCGCTCGGGAACTCTCCTAGTATGACTACTGTAGATTTATTCGCCAACAAATAATATCTGGTGGCAGTTGACTATTTCTCAAGATTTATAGAGGTTACCAACATAAATATTCAGAAACTGCTGTAGAAGTCATAACGAAACTGGAACCCATGATGTCGAGATGGAGATACCAGAGACCATTAGATCAAATAATGGGCCTTGTTTTTCTAGCCACATATTCAAACAATTTGCTCAGACATATGGATTCAGTCACAGCACATGCAATCCTCAAACAAATGGGCAGGCAGAATACGCTGTAGAAATAGCCAAGAATATAATTCTAAAATGCAATGACCTAACCCAAACTTAGGACTGTTAAGTTATAGAACAGCAAAACTAGAGATTGGATTTTCACCAGCAGAACTGATCATGGGAAGAATACCTAGGAATTTAATCCCAGTCTAACAAAGACAGATTTATCCCTAAGTGGAACTACATAAACGACTTCAAGGAAGTCAGAAGCAACGAAAAAAAAGTTCAAACATTGAATTTTGATAAGCGACATAGAGCAAGATCAAATTCTACCTTGAAAAATAACGATAAAGTTTGGATTCCGATATGAAAATGTTTGGGAAAGTAATGGACCTGAACCTAGAACATACATTATCGCCGCAGAAACGTCACCAGGCGAAACTGAAGCCAAGTTATAGAGGTAACCTCAGAAGATGATAGGACTAGAGCAAGGGACAGATACTCGACTAGAGATGTACAATTGGGAACTCCCCGAAAGTTGCCATGATGAGTCAAGCTCAGAATCAGAGGGTGACGATGGAGGGGATGATACGAACACAGAATACGGTTTAGCTGCATCACAAAGTAGTGGACCAGAAATTGAAGGCAATAGCTCCGAAAGTGACAACGACTCCACCCACTCCATAATATCTGAGCCAGGCTCAGAGGAGAAGACCGAAGTCTATAACTCCACTCACCAGAGATACACCACCCAGTTCAAGAAGACTAGTCAAGCCGGTACGTCGTTGCTCCTGCAATGGAATGTGTGGTGAAGATAAGTTAAAACAAAAGTGAGAATCAACATTGTACAGTGTATATAGTAAATGAGTGTGTAGTTTTATCCATACCATTATTATACCCAGAGTAAATAGGATAAACAATGGTTTAAGACTAGTCGCGTTGAATTCGACTCGAATGCAAGACACTCACTTGGTGAAAAAGGAGGATGTGGCATAGAGTCCCTTGGAGGAGAACCCGCAGGTCTTAACGATGGTACGTTGACACTTTTCATAGGCGATACATGCTTTCTGTACGTCATCTGCTTAATCTATTCTAATGTGTAGTGGTTGTCATTGTTTAGGTTAGGGCCCATGTTCCACAGAAGAGATGATAGACAGCACACCTCCCTGCGGGCAGTCTTGTAGCCATTCCTTTAATGTTGACCCCCTGCACCCTTATCTGTACGATTCTTTTGTAAAGCATAAGTAATATCCATCCGGTCACAATTTCCGGAGTATTCCTTCCTGTTAGTGAGTGGCTAAGTTTTTAAAATGTGATTTTTTCAAAGGCCCCTTTATTGTCGATGGATACCCCGATGGTGGACTCTCTATTGTTCAGCGATTTTTGCACTCGCCCAGCAACCATCAAGCGTAGGTCTGTGTCCGTTGATCTCCCAGAGGTGTATGCTTCTTGATTAGGGTGGAGTGGATTGGTTGACAGCACTTCATCCCTTATGTACCTTTCGCATAGCCACTTCATTATTTTTAGAGAAAAATATGAGAGGCTTATGGGGCGATATACTTTGAAGGTGGTGTAGTCCATCCTCCCTGGTTTGGGTAGGAATACCACTCTGACTTCTCTCTAAGCCTTGGGTATGTATATCAGCGTCAAGGACGCCCTGAATATCCCTACCAGGTGCGGCAAGAGCAGCTTCAGGCTCCACTGAAGTAAAGCTGGATAGATACCGTCAGGTCTTGGTGCTTTGAAGGCGGCGAAGCTTGAAATTGCCCAGCCTAATATTTCCTCGTCTATTATCTAATTTCCTATTTGCCAATCAGCCACACACTGTTACCTGCGTCTGTTCCACAATCGTGATTGTGGAGTCAGGGAAGAAAAAAAATATTGTTTTAGTATATTTAATCAAATGCCACGTGTGCTTCCAATCCGTATATAATCGAAATTATAAATTTCAGAACTACGAATAACTCAAATCGATGATCAAAATAAATGGACTCGAAAATGCCAACATCTGGCAACAGGTGAAATAATGGACTTGGACGAGCCAAAAATTGAAAAACTAGGTGAGTATTGTCTCAAAAATATTACCTACGACATTATTTCAACTTTATTTAAAGTTAGTTGTAATAAAGGTGCTCCTCACTTTGATATTATCTGTAGTAGATATAATATACCTATCTAAGCCATATTGTATAGGTACTATATAAAATATTTTTTAGAAGATAGAAACAAATGCAATGAATATCAGTTTGGTGAGGATTGTATCTCATGCAAAACAATTTTTGGACAAAACTTGTGCCCCAAACAATCTAAATATTGCCAGCTGGTAGCCACAGAAAATTCTAACATCCTTCGCAAAAGATGTTTCTGTTCGATCGGATCTGCTGGTCGAAATTGCAAGGGTAAGAATAGACATCTTCTGAACGAGTTATTGCAGTTTGGTCAAGTCATGTACAAAATCAAAATATTCGCCAAGTGTAATATATAAGATAATGTTGTCGCCCTCCGTGCAATTGAAAATTAGAAATTTTGTCCAAATGACAGCACAAATAAAATTTTCTAATTGATGAATAGACTTTATCGCACATCCAGATCATTACATTTCAGAAAAATCCAACTGGGTATTGATGTAAAGAAAGATTGTATAGCTACCCACATACGTGATATCTTTTTGCATTCACATAATTATTATCTGATATATGGAACTATTTACAGATTCCTGTTTGGCTTCAAATTATGGTCACGGCTGTAGTGGAAATTGTAAAAACTGTCAAGACACTTGCTCGAGGGATCCAATTTTCGGAAAATGCGATTCTAAATTTTGCACTGACAATTTTCAAGGGGAAAAATGTGACCAACGTATGTATAGCTTATTCACTTCGAAAAATAAGAATCGGTTAATTGTTTTCAGTATATTCTGGAATAATTATTGGACAAAACACTTTCTTCACATTATCTCATATTATTCACTTCATTAAATAATAATTTTATGTTATACCTACTGTTAGAAATTATGTACAATTCTCTTTTAATAAAGCTCGATGTATTTTTTTCAGCAAGCATAATATTTATTTTTTCACAAGAACCAAAAATTGAACCAGAGTATAGAAGCTGTAAGGTGACTCTTAAATCATTTGATGGAACTGGCATTAAAGTGGGAATGCAGTTTTACAAATTTCAATACAGAAAGGTATAAAAGCCTATTATTTTTTCTTAATATTCATTAATCATTGACCGTCTATTTTTTTTTAGAAGGGGCAAAGCGAATGGAAAAATACAACTAGCGTTCCGTTTAATGAAATTCGAATGATAGAAATCACTGGTCTAGAAGTTCAGTCGAATTATGAACTCAGGATGTTTGGATATAAAGAAATACCTAATATGGATGAAATGAGGTTTATTGAAAATGAAAACATTTTACCGACATATACTTTTCAAACGATCTGTAGGGGTAAGCGAAATATTTTTATGCCAACTGTACCTATTTTATTTGTTGCTAGTTTCAACCAAATTTCATTAGGTTTGTTCCAACCTGCAATAATATTACTGTAATATTATCGTCCGTAACCGCGCTAATGCGACTGCGCAATCAGAAACAGTAATATTATACTAAATAACTTAAAAACTTGTTGGAACGTTTTTTGAACTAGTAGTACTCACAACACAAGATGAAAATAACAAAATCAACATAACTTGCATACTTGCAGGTGAATCATCTTCCACCACAATAAGGAATTCTTCTAAACCTAATAATATAAGACAAAAATCAGATTTAATAACTCTGAGAACAAATAAAATAAAATTACTTAACTTCTATAGCAGTAATTTTCAAATAAATAATTTAAATAAACAAAAAACTGAGGTTCTGAGTTATGTATTATTATTTATGTTCGTTGTTGTTCAACCACTGACCCGTTTTCGACCTCACTACGCATGCGTCTAATTTTAGAACCAACAGTTCTTCCTTTCAAGTAAGAATCGTTTGAACCGTAATTTTACTATCCGTAACTCCGGTTGGAACGACGAACTGTCAATTATCGCCAATTCTAAATTAGTAATTTTAACTGGTTGGAACAGCATTTCACAATTGCGCATGTGTGCCAGTAATATTAGTAAGCATTTAAGATAGAATCATACTGTACTGATAACGTAAGGTCTATTTTCGTTTATGTTGGGTGGTTCCCGCCATACACGACCTTGGTACATGGCTGCAAACAGTGTGTCGCCACAAAACACGCGCTGCCGTTCTCAAAATTAGTACTTATTGCGATGCCAACGAGGCTATGTCTCGAAATCCTGTGATTTTAACAAAATAGATCGCAAATTAGCACTAATGGGTGAGCCAACGACCATCAATGAAATGTACAAGCTACTACAAGGTGACAACCAAAAGCAAACCGAGTTGTTAACTGGAAAAATATTGAAAAGCGAAAATAATATTAAACTTCAGATTAAAAAATCTAACCAGAAACTGGAAATTCTAAAAGAAAACCAAATTGTACTGGAAAGAAAAATTAGAAGGAACAACATCATATTTTTTGGTTTTAAATCTGCAAATCAAAGAACCCTAATACAAGACGTGATTGCTAAATTAAATGATATTTTTTCACTAAAAATTATACTTAGGGATATAAACAATATATACCGACTCGGAAAAGGTGATGACGCACCGGTTTTGATCGAATTTATTTCATTTCTTAAGAAATCAGAGATATTCGAAAATCCTGAAAAACTGCGCAGTTTAAAAAACACGCAATATGCTATTTCAAATGATCTTTACGAGGAAGATCGAAAAACTCAAAAAATTCTGCGAAAACATTTGAAACAGGCAAAAGAAGAGAACAAGGTAGCGAAAATACGTGGACTTGACTAGAAATCAACAATACTCTTTACACAGTTGAAGAGTTGGAACAACTGTCAGAAAGCGAAACAGAGGCAAGCAGTTCAGACGAATCAGACAGTTCACAAACTACAGAACAAGGACAAAAAATTCATAATTCGAGGCAGAATAAAAATAAGCGGAAAAATAAGAAAAGTCCAGGTGGAGTAAAAACTCGATCAAACAAGAAGAAAAAGCACTAATATCTTGTGTGCTACAATAGAGGTGTTTACGTTTTTCTCCTGAACTATATTTAATAAATAGAATTCTGTAAAAAACAAGAATATTTTGTATATTAATTAATTATTATTAAAACACATAAATTAAAACAAATTCTATTGCAAAATTAATTAGATACCTAATTTAAGGGAAGTAACAGAAAATTGAGTTGTTTTACTACACAATGAATAACTTTATTCAAAATTTCGAAGAGGAATTATTGATCTCCACAAATATTGTAAATAATATAAAATCCTTTAGCCAACAAATTAACAACAAAGATTTTAAGTTGCTTCACTTAAACATCTGTAGTGTTAACAAAAATTTTGAAGAACTCTTGTGTTTTTTGGAGCAAATAGAAACTAAGGCCGATATAATTGTTTTGACTGAAAGTCATAAAATTCTAGATTTACAAATAATAAACATACCTGGTTATAAGCTAATTTATAATGAGGGTAATTACAATAAGTGTGATGGAGTAATCGTGTTCATAAAAGACTGGATTTCTTGTAATTATAAATTTAAATACATAGGGGAGGTTAAATGTATTGAGTTGGAGGTTGATGATAAGTGTAAGTTTTATGTTACTTGTATATATAAGTCACCCTCAGTGGATGAAAAATTATTCCTAGAAAACTTTACACAATATCTGCATCTAAATAAAAATAAAAAAAGGCATATAATTACTGGTGACATAAATTTTGATATTCTTAGAAATGACAAACAAAATATTGAAGAGTACAAAACTATTTTGGCCAGTTACGGCTTTCTGTCATTCATAAATAAATATACTAGACCAGCCTCAAAAACCTGTTTGGATCATTTTTACATAAAAGGGAGCAATACATTTTCAAACACAAAATCATATGTAATTAATTATAAAATAACTGATCACTGTCCAATTTTCCTTTCCTTTCTTAGTGAATGTAAAAATGAAAGCCAGAACAGACAGCACATTGTTAAAAAATATATTAATTATGATCAACTCAAGGCCGATATGTTAAATGACTCATGGAATTATGTGTATCTAACTCCAGACTTGAACCTTGCAACTTCAAATTTTATTAAAAAACTTCAGTTCCTCATTACAAAAAATACAGATACCGTTAAAATTACAAGAAGAAAGCACCCCAAAAAACATTGGATCACAAAGGATATTCTTAATAGAATTAACTTAAAAAACAATATTTATCAAGAGTCCTTGCAAAACCCACAAAATATCGAATTAAAAATTAGATATAATAGTTGCAAAAAACAATTGGAAAAAGATATAAAAAAATCTAAACAACTATTTTTTCAAAACCTGATTGAAAGAAATAATAATAATTCAAGTAGTTTGTGGCAAGCTGTCAATAAAATTTGCAATAAAACCCAAAACAAAACCCTAATTAGAAATATTAAACTTCAAAATAATCAAATCGTTAACGATCCTCTTGAGATAGCCAATCACTTTAATAACTTTTTTTGTGACATCGGTAAAAATTTGGCAAACCAAATAACTACACCCTTAGAATACAACGAGCAGACAGAAAGAGTTCCAAATAGTTTAAACTTTTTTCGACGTGTATCAGTGTTTGAGGTGAAAAAGGTAATTAAAGAGCTGAAATCTAAAAAATCTCCTGGGCCTGATAACATTAAAGCAGAAACAATAAAGGAAATAGAAAGTGAAATATCACCTATACTTACTTATTTAATAAACTTTTCTTTTAGTATAGGTAGTTTTCCAGATGCTCTTAAGTTGGGTAAAATAAAACCGCTACTCAAAGAAGGATCAAACTTAGAGATAAACAACTATAGACCGATTTCTCTAATTTCCAATATTTCAAAAATCTTTGAGAAACTAATGAAAACAAGAATGGTAAAATTCCTTGATGAAAACGATATCATTTCTAAAAAACAGTTTGGCTTTCGCCAAGGGAAATCGACAGAGGATGCAATAATTACTTTGTGTGACGAAATGTATAGTGCAGTTGATAAAAAAAAGGCAGCACTGTGTGTATTTATTGACCTTAAAAAGGCTTTTGATACAGTTTGTCATAAAAAACTAGAAAGAAAACTGGAACAAAATGGTTTTAGAGGGAGTGCTTTGAATTTGCTTAAGAGTTATCTGGAGAACCGAACTCAATTTGTGGAAATTGACGAAATCAGGAGCAGTCGGAGAGCTGTAACGTGGGGCGTTCCTCAAGGGACGGTTCTCGGACCTATTTTATTTAATATTTATGTAAACGACTTGTTAAAACAGACATTTCAAGGTATAATAGTAAATTTTGCCGATGATTCGTTTGTATTTTACTCGGCTGACAGCTGGAATAGTGTAAAAGATAAAGCAGAAGCAGATCTACTGAACATATTTACTTGGTTTGAATACAATAAATTAACACTAAATAAAACCAAAACTAAATTTCTACCTTTAACATCGTATAGTAATAAATTGCCTGAATTCGACCAACTAACTGTTTCTCGAGATACCAGTATCGGTGGAACGAATAAAGCTAGATATCTTGGAGTAATCATTGAACCTCATCTCAGATGGGATGAACATGTTAAACAAACATTGAGTAAAACAAGATATCTGGTTACGCGTTTTAGCCATCTTAAAAAATACTTGAAAATTGACCAATTAAAGGTTTTGTATTTTGCACTGTTCCAATCACAGCTAACCTATGGCCTTGTGGGTTGGGGTGGTGTGAGAGATTGCTACTTATCCCAACTAGAAAGTTTGCAAAAGTGGATTCTAAAAATAATTTTTAATAAAGACAGACTTTATTCAACTGAAAATCTTTACAAAGAAACGCAAATTTTAGACATAAGACAACTATACTTTTTAAAATTAATTCAATTAATAAAAGAAGACAAAATTACTTTGCATACAATCTCTCACTCACACAACACCCGTCAGGAGCAGAGTACAGTAGAAGTGCCATTTATGAAAAAGGAAATTGGGCACAAATATTTTAAATATTTAGCACCAAAATTCTACAACTTTCTTCCGGAGAATCTTAAGCAAGTTATAGGAAGAAAAAACTTTAAGGTTCAGTTAAAAACATGGCTCTGTAATATAGATAGATTAGAAATAAGAAATTTATTTACTTAAATATATTTCTATGCAAAAATTATAATTAATATAAAAAAAAAACCCAAAATTGTTATTATATATGTAAAGAAGTGAAAAAATAACCTGATTAGTGACCTTACTCAAAATTGACCAAATATAATTATATGTGACATAATCTCGAATGTGTAAAAGTGAACCAGATTAGTGACTTAACAATCAAATGTGGCTAGTACCTAAACGTAAACACGGGAAAAAGGACTTTTTTGTTATATGAGAAAACACAAACAAGCAACTTACAGTTGCTTCTGTGCTAAACGTTTTTATTTGTCAAAATAAGTAAATCATACTTTATTGTATCTATATTTTGTGATAAATAAAAGCTATTTTGATTGATTGATTGAATATTACTGGAAATTACTGCCGGTTGGAACAAACCTAATAATAATAACTAAAGTCTCAATTTATTTTTTTTCTAATTTCTTATAGACCCTAAATCTAACGATATTTCAATTATAACTGATGCATTTTCTGCAACAATTACATATTTAAAGGTAAGAATAAATATAGTCCATTGTTTAATAATATTAGGTAACTTGTTATTTTTTCAAGGCAATCGATCAAGAATTATGTGACATCGATGCGTATACGAATAATGTAAACGGAACCACTATAAACATTTCAAATGAGGCCAATCCCTATAAAATGATAAACTTAAAACCATTCTCATTGTACATTTTTAGTATATCGAAAAATCTTAACAATATTGTATCTAAAGAATTTAGAACACTAGAATCTGGTAAGTAATATGCTTACATAAATATGTTACAAAGGTACATACAACTTGTCTGGGTTATAGAATTGTCGCATCAACAGCTTGAGTAGAGCAATGACGAAACATCTTTTTACTTTTAAAGCTCATAGTGCTCAATATTGGCATTCTTTGCGTGGAATTTTTCTGAAAGTTTTTGTAAACTAAGGTACTTATTTCTGGGTCTGTCAGAACACGTTGGGTCAAGTTGATCACCGATCTGTTGTCAAGAGGTTTAAAGGATTCAAATTTCTTCTTCTATATCTGTTGCTTGCTTCTTATTTCGTAATTTTCATTATGTTCTATGTAATCTGTCACTTCAACGCATATTCCAAGCTACATTCAGATTTGTGTTCAAATGCTCCTTGCCTCTAATAAATTCGTTTTCAAAGTTGTTCTACTATATGGATCATGGATCACTAACACTATATCCTCTAACCTATCGCCAGTAAGCCTACCAACCAGAAAAGTCCACAATCTCCACATTTTTCGATCTAAACAGAATCCTGGCAAAGTCAATTGATGATAAAGATGTGGCTCTAGGCATGTTTCTAGAAATAGAGCGAACGTTCAATAACGTTCCAACATCACTAATAAAAGCATCGACGCGTAAGAACATTCCGCATACCATATGTAACTGGATTAACCCTCCATTAGTCGCGCGTGTATCTGAGAGATACATGCCTATTATTTTTGCAAATAAATCAAAAAGGAAAAAACCTATAATATTATGGCTTGTAGTAATCCTCAGGCACCCTATACTCATTACTTTCCCAAAATTACATGGTCGTACTTCTACCTGGAAATTTGGAATTTCCAAAAAACTCCGGGTGCGCTCGGCTTTGTACCTATATTATACTAAAGCTGCCGGGCGTTGTGGGCGAAACTGCAACGACTGCGAAAATAGAATTCAACTTCTGGAATCTCTTTTTCAGTGAAAATATTCTATCTTTGATTGTTGAGTACCCGAATCAATACATCAGAAATTGTAAAACCGAAATTCATCAGACGGTTCAATTTTTTTGTCAATGATTTAGTATATGTATCTCTGTGATACAGCGCGACTAATGATGTTATAAAACTCGCGCGCCTAATGGAAGGGTAAAGCCAGCCAAATAAACTAGGGTAATCATCCCCTCTGGACGAGAACACAGTAGAAGCAATAGTGGGAAAGAGTGGTCGACGATCTCCTGGCAGAAATGGCAAAGGAGAGATTTCACTGCCTCGGCTACGTGGACGATTTAATCCTGGAAGTCAGAGGCAGGCATCTAGAATATAACTCGGAAAGAACTCAAAAAGCTAGCTTTGAACATATAGTAGATTACTGATGCAGGAAGAAGGCTTGTCTGTTAATCCGCAGAAAACCGTTATTGTCCCATTCACAAAGCACCGAGAGATCTTCGATGTCTTAAGCTTAATGGAGCGGAAATCCCCTTCTCGTAGGTGGTTAAACATCAAGGAGTCCTTTTTGACCAAAAGATGACCTGAGGTCCAAACCTCAATGTCAACAGAGCTGCCCAGAAGGCTAAAATTTCCCTGCGGAGATGCAGAAGACTTTCTGGAAAAAGCTAGATACTAAACCCAAAGATGAATGTATAGTTATATAAAATGAAAATAAGACCTACGATTCGGTTGCCTGGAGTACAAAGGTCACACAGACCGTAGCAATCAAACAGCTTCAAAATGTGAAAAGACTAGCCAGCGTATACATCACGGGGCCATGAAAACAGCCTCAACCGCAGCCCTGGAGGTGTTGCTAAACCTGTCGCCACCACATATCTACATACAGGGTGAACTGAAGGCGGTACTCTACAGACTGAAACAAGGCCAGGAACCAATTGAAAAATATCGAAGAACCATGGTGTTCAGTTTCGTCTACGCGCCCTGTATATAGTTGTAGGTTAAATTAGGTATTTAGCATGTCAAATCCTATTTGGGAATGGAAATTGATTCGTTTTTCTTTTCTTCTTTATTTTTTGTTTCTCATATTCTAATTGAATAATTGAGCGTTTTTATGCCTAAGAATTGATACGGCTTTGTTAAATTTGGCTTTTGAGAATGCGCGCATTAAACACTGAAAAAGGATATCTGCAAGTCCTTACATTGTCGACCAGTAAATCAGTCGCCAAAAACACTACGTCCGTTTCGTGTGGTTCGAGAAAATAGACTATTTCTTTTCGCTTGCCGTGACCAATTTCAATCAAGACGGTTTCGTTTGTACTCCTTCGCATTGGACTTGAACTTCTTGAAAGAGTTGGCCAGCTGAATGGAGTGTGGAAGTAAAGCCAGGTAAGGTGAAAAAATATCCTTTTTCTACAACTGTCAAAAAATGACGATGTTCGCACACTCATGACAGTTTGCGAAGTGACACTTTTTTTACCGGGTATTGATTTTTTAACGTTCCCATGACGCCGTGCGCGAACTATCTATCTCGCACACTGGTGCGCGAAATAGCTAGTTCGCACACTGGTGTGTCATAGTGACACATACCTGTCAGGAAACCAGAAATAATTAAAATTCACCTGCCTTTGATTGAAAATGCAATTTTGTCTTCGAATGATCGATATTTAAATGGAGTTGTAGAAAAAATATTGTTTGCAACTCGGGCGCGAAATACTTTGGTGATCTCGACTATTTCAAACCCAACCTTCGAAAATTCTGGTTCGATGCAAAACCCCATGTACCAATTCGCACACCCGCAAATGCGCTATAATTCAGCTTTTCATATTTTGGGTAATCCATCTGATTCTAAACCCATTCAGGATTCCAACTTCGCACAATCGGGTGCTCAGATTCCGAATATACAGTCCACTTCTTGCAATTCCACCAATTCGGGTTCTAGTCCTAAAGACGCTAATTGCTATCACTCGCAAGTCAATTCAAGCAATTCTTTAAATACGACCGTACTACTTGGTACAGCAGTCATTGATATTCGTGATTCATGGGAAAACTTTCAAAAAATTTGCGTTCTTCTAGAGAGCTGCAGTCAGATTAACGCGATAACGGCAAAATGTGCAAATCGCTTGGGCATTCAACGGTTTTCCAGTTCTTACACAGTTTTTGAGCTAGGGCACTCTTCAACCAAATCTCTCGGATCCGTGCAGTGCACAATCAAACCCACGGGTCAGTGGCGAACTTCCTTCACTTTTGGCGCGGAAGTCACAGAAACCATATGCCCTAAAATGCCAGTCATGCCGATCTCTGTTGCCAATTGGTATTCAATTCACAATATTCCGCTGGCGGAACCTAAATTTAACTCGCCTGGTTCAATAGATGCCCTCCTAGGAGCAGATCTTTTTGGTCATTTCATTCGAGAAGGTCGCATCGAAGGTCACTCCGGGCTTCCTTCTGCTTACAACACCATCTTTGGATGGGTCTCCTTAGGCAAAACAGCTTGCGAATTGGCACTACCTATACTTCCTATTCCTTCCTTATGTCTTCCGAGGCGTCGATCGATTCAACACTTCGAAGGTTCTGGGAACTTGTAAAGGTCCCCGAATTCACATCCCTTTCATCCGAGGAGTCCAAATGCGAAGAGTTATTTATTAACACTGTTTGTCGTGATCAAACCGGCCGATACACTGTTCATCTGCCATTCCGAGAACAGAAACCTACTTTTCACAGTTCACGTTCCATCGCGCTCTGCTGTTTTCTTTCCATGGAAAAGAGGCTGCTGCGCGATGCTTCAACATACGGGTCATATAAGGAAGTAATAAACGACTACCTACTTAGCCTCCGGGCACATGATTCAAACAAATACTCCAGACGCAGACTCAGGTCACTTTCACTATATACCAGACCATTACGTGTTCAAGCCTGAAAGCACTCCGACAAAAATGAGAATTGTATTCGACGCCTCAGCGTCTGATTCTTTAGGATGTTCTTTAAACCAGACTCTGCTTCCTGAGCCAAAACTGCAAAAAGAAATATTCGACGTTCTTAGCAATTTTAGAGTCAAGCCTTTCGCTTTCACTGCTGACGTTAAACAAATGTATCGGCAAATTCTAATAACACCCCACCAACGTGAATATCAGCGTATTCTTTGGAGTTTCTCGCAAGAGAGTCCCATGCAAGACTTTGCACTTCAGACTGTTAGCTTTGGCATTTCATCTTCCGCCTACTTAGCCCAGAGAACGCTTGTTCAGTTAGCTCGAGATAAAGAATGTAATCATCCTCTCGGTTCAAAAATTCTTCTTTCCGACGTCTACGTTGACGATGTCGTTTCCAGTTTTTCTTCGCTAGAGGAGGCCCTTGCTTCACGGCGGGACCTAATTTCTTTGCTAAAATAAATGGGTTTGAACTCAGAAAATGGGTTAGCAATCATCCCCGTCTTCTTGCCAATATTCCGGCCGAAGAAAGGCTCGAACAATCGTTATCTTTCTACTTAGAAGCTTCCACCACGTCCGTAAAAATTCTCGGGCTCAAGTGAAATACTGTCAGTGATTCATTCTCGTATTCTGTAGACATAGTGTCGGAACATTGTTCAAAACGCGTCATACTCTCTAATTTGGCACGTATATTCGATCCCCTCGGGTTTCTTGCCCCTCTCACATTCTCTGCCATGCATATTATTCAGCACTTATGGACTTTTGGTCTAGAATGGGACCAGACTCCCCCCGATAATGTTTGTGCCAAATGGAATCAGTACAAAGCGGAACTTCCCTAGGACTAGGTGTTTCATGCCAGATGCATGGATTTGCCGATAGTTCGGAGCGTGGCTACGCCGCAGTGGTTTACCTAAGAATTGTGACGAGCAAAGATGTTCAGATTTCGTTGGTAGCAGGCAAGTCCAAAGTACCCCTGTCCAGAAAGTGCGTCCCCTCGGCTGGAATTATGCGCCGCGCACCTTCTTAGCAAGCTCATGAAACATATTCTAATTACCTACCTACTACGACAAAATCAATGTTGAGAAAATCTATGCATTTTCAGACTCAACTGTCGCTCTGGCTTGGATCAGAAAATCACCCCATATTCTAAAAACCTTCATC